GTTATTATTATTATTATTATTATTATTATTATTATTATTAGATGAAGGAGATTCCCAACAATATTGCTACTTCATTATGAGATGTTAGATCATGATTATGCTAATAATTTTATTTTAAAATGTTAATTTTTTTTTTGAAGGCAAAATGTTAAATTCTAATGTATAATGAAACTAATTTAAATTTTATGAAGATGTCTTTTTTTGCCTTTTTACATTTATCAATTTATCAAAAAATTAATTTTACCAAACACTTTCAAGCATAACAACTAGTTTAATAACTCTTTAATTTTCAACTCCTAGCTTATAGCTTTTCAGCTCATTTTAAACTTTCAGCTACTTTTTTAACTAGGTTTGTCAAATATAGTTTACATAAAGTAATACGAAATATTTAATTAATACATACCTTAAATAATGATTATAAATTTTCTCATAATTGAAGAAATATATATAAAATCGTCTCGAATGATGGGTAGGGAAGTAATGACACTGTCATTTTCAATTAGCTAAATTAAGTAATGACAATGTCGTGAGCTAAGCTAAATTAAACCCTAATAAATATTCTGGCTTATAATTTCTGGGCCCCACGTACAATGTATCCCAAAATACTTTGACCGACAACGCTTCAATTTTTTTATACATAGCTTATGTTTGGCAGAGCTTATTTAGGAGCTTATAGCATATTTTAAGTTATTAATAAGCTATAATCTCTGTTTGGTAATATTCATAAAATAAGCTCCTAGCTTAAAATAAGAGCTTATTTTCGAACGTTACTTTATAGACATAATTTCATTGAGTTTCTTTTATTTCTTTTTTCAAATAAAACATTGTATTTAAAATCTTATTTATTAAAATAATTTATTTAGCATACTGTATTGTTATTGGAGTCTCAAAGATAAGACTAATTCAACTGAATTTATATTGAACTATATTGAGAGAATCTCACTAATAACATTATTCCAAAAGGTTGAACCCCAACCCCAAGGGCCCGACAGAGCGGTGGGGGGATGTAAATCATGGTGACTCAACTGAACATTAGTCACAGAGGCTAGACCGATGCTCACTGCGCACAAGGAACCCCCCTCACTTTGAGAGGTTGCCCCCACACTGCCGCTGGTGAGACTCGATCCTTGGTGATTATTCCAAAGTTTCACCTCTATGACCAGTTGAGCTACCCATGCGGGCATCAAGAGTTACGTTTCCACCGTCGAACATAGTGACTAATCCCATCCATCATATTGTGGACATCTCTATTGGATGAGACAGCTAACCTAGAAATTTAAAGTTGCTACATACCTAAAGTAAGGATTGAACCTTTGAAGTGAACGAGTCCCTTCCACTCAACTACACGCCTAAGTTAGAATAACCACAATTGTAATTTTTGGAGAGGTTTTTTCAGAAGAAAAAACATGGGTAAAGTTTTTGAACAAATAGGGATGGGGCTTTTACTTTTTAGGGGTAATTTTTCTCCTGCAAGGTTGGTTTTTAATGGAACTCACTAATTAAAAAGAATTTGGAAAAACTTATAGCAGGTGCGCACTTGCTGCACCACATACTAGCTGGGTGCGTGAACGGCATTATTTAATTATTATTCTTTTTACTTTTTTTGTGTTAGGCTTTTCTTCTGTCCCTCCTCCCCCCCCCCCCCCCCCCCTCCCCCCTACCCCTTTATTTTAGTTATTTTTTTTATTTTTTCTTTCTCTTCCCTCTACTATTCTCTCTTACATAGTTATGATAAAATTCAACCCAAAAACCTCATTAATGAGGTTGCTCTAATAACATGTATACTACGTAGCAATGTCTTTGCACATGTGCATCGAGTACATACAACCCAAAATATTTTAGATTTTGTATCCATTGCATCAAATAATAAATTCCAAAACTTGTTGTATCAATGCAATCTATTGATTGAAACATTAGAATTTGTTGGGGGGCGCATATATATATATATATATATATATATATATATATATATATATACATATCCGTGTAAATAGTACTTTTCGTGTGGCCGTGCGATCACTCACTATTATGTACGTATAACTGCACCACAAAAGTGTTCAAAAATGTACCATAGATGTGGTGCAGTTTGATGCATTTTTTTGGTGTATGGTGCATTTTGTGAAGCATTGGTGCATTTCATTGTGGTGCAATTTTTTAATATATATCATAATTATCAATTACATATTTAAGTGATTATAAGATATTTTAAAATTAAGCATTGGAAGATGGAGAATAGAGTTTGAAGAGTTTTTTTTTTTGGCAAATAAAAAGAGCCTTTCATTAATTAAGATCAAAACTCAGACTATTCAAACTGATAGCTGGAAGAAACTCAAACCAAACCATACATTCAGACAAAGAAAGGGTAGTCTTAGCAAGAACATGAGCTATCAAATTCGCTGAACGCTTAACAAAAAAGAATGACACATTTGGAAAACTTATCAAAATAGATATTATGTTATCAACTATGATGTCAGTCAGATTGGCGTGTTGATTTCTTGTTTCTAAAAGGTCGAATATCTAAATTCAAGAGCTCTACATCGTGACTCGACAGATGCGTGTTGATATCTTGAATAACTTGTTTGGCGTCTGACTCCACTTGCAATAAAGCTAAGCGTTTGTAAACTTGAGAATAGAGTTTGGAGAGTTGTAATTTGTAATAAATGAGTAGTAAGTCCAAGAATCTCCAATTGATGTGGCGTGAATGGCGTGGTGATGAATTACAAATGCAAAAGTGCTTTCCAAAAAAAAAAAAAAAATTATAAATGCAAAAGTAAACAAAAAGGCTGGCTAGGGGTACGGTGCAAGGAGTCAATGCATGTCAGTACCCCATTGATGGAGCAAATTAAAGATAATTTTAGTTTTTTTTTTTTTTTTTTTTTTTTTTTTTTTTTTTTTTGACAATTACAGTACTTTTTAGTGGCTCAAAAAAAAATGAAATTTTAATTTTTTGAAGACAAACATAGCTTATATTAAATCATGAGAAAGAACATTACATAAGGAAGGATGGGAAGAAGACCACTCCTTACGTTCAGACATAAAAAGGAGCTGTTCGATTTGTAGAACGTTTCACAAAAGAGATACTAGAATGAACAAGAGAGCTCAACAAATATTTTACATCAGCTAAGAGAAGATTAAAAGAAGAAACATATTCCAGTGAAGAGGTGTCAAAAAAATTTGGACTTGACGGAATTTGTGGAGGTGATAAATCATTGTGATTATTACCATGTCAACATGATATGTATTGAGTAACCTTTGGTCTACATTGCAGGTTAGTTTGAGTCGTGGAATCCTTCAAATTTTGATTTGCATCTCTTCTTTTTGTGTGGGAGAGAAAGCCTCTTATACCATTCAAAATCCCTCTAAAGGAGACTTGTACATATACTAGTGCAAACTCACTTCCCTTTTCAATGTGGGACAAAAGCTTCTTCTAGTAGTTGTAACTTGTGACATGTTTAGTTCTAAATTTTTAATTAATTATTCGTGGTCATTCAATTCTATCAAATTTTAACCAGTCTGACTTCTGTTGGTTAGTTGAGGCACTATGATTAACTCATTCATAAATTACGGAGTGTGATGGTGCATGGGTGGACAATTCCACATTTATGTCACAATTATATTTCATTTTCTTGTAGGTCACAATCGAGATTAAGAATTTAAGAGTAGTTAAGACTAATTAATAAGTAGAATATTGCTGCCTACTAACGGCTAAACAACTGCCAAACGTCCAGCTAATGTTTACACGCTAAACGGTTGTGTCCACTTATTTGGAATTTTTGGGTACTCCACTTTTAATAAATATACCATTCAAATAGTTTTTGTTTGTTTTTTGTTTTTTTGGTTTTTTTTTTTTTTTTTTTTTTTGTTTGTTTTTTGTTGTTTTTTTTTTTTTTTGAAATAGACTCCACAAGAAGGTGATACCGTAATAGCAAGAATGAAAACTCAATTGATCATCTATTTCAAGACACTCAAATAGTTTAGTGAATGCTAGGTTACTATTTCAATATTTTGTTTAAATAAACGATTTTATATTTTTAAGGGAAAATAGTCAAATAATCGGTCACAAATAGGTAATACCCGATAATTATTAAATTAATCGTCGGTGACCGTTAACCGGTCACCTTTCGCCTTCTTCCTCAGTCGAAGAAGGAAACCAGCGTCGCCTTTTTCAACTGAGGAAGAAGGCGGCGCCGGTCGCCTTCTTCCTGAAGGAGGAGGCTGTTGGACGCTAACGGCTGTTTTGGTTTCCTGTGTCCTTTTTTTTTTTTGGATTACTGTTGAAGATGGCGATCAACGATGATTTTATATTTTTTAAAGTTTAATGGCCTAATTGCACTTTCCTATAATGTTTAGGGGTGTATTTGACCATTTATATATTTCTTCCACTTTTTTATTTTTTATTTTTTTATTTTTAATTGTCATTTTCATGTGTCTCGTATTTCTCATTTTATTCTTTCCATGCTAAGTTAGCATTTATACTTCTTGTCTAAGTAAAAGATTTCTAAGTGTATTGCAAGCTTGTGTAACACATACAATGGTAGAGCTTTTGTATTTGTAATTTTTTATTTCAAATTGTTATTTTTTTTTAGTGTATTAACCCTATTATATGTAATATCTGTTTAAATATACAATATACCACTTCTACTAAGCTCGAACCCATAACCTTCTATTTGGAAGAGTCACTTTATACTGCTTGACCACAAGATTTTTTATTTCAAAAAGTCGATTGAGATTGTAAAGAGATAGAGAAAATAATAAAAAAATTGTAAATTTAATATTATGTGAAAATAAAACTAACTTTCAAAAATAAAATAGTATTGCATGGATAAAGATAATTTTAAATACAATGAATGCAAACATTGCCATTGTTGCAATTAAATTTGCTTAGAATAAAGTTACATTAATTGATTTAAAAAAACCAAACAAAACTCTACCACCCAAGCTCAGCTACTAAAAACAAACAAAACTCTACCACCCAAGCTCAGCTACTAGTATAAGACTTATTTAAATTTGATTCAAATTGCACCCGTAAAATTTGACTCTTACTCAAAGAAACTTTTTTTTTTTTTTTTAATGATGCACGCATACAAGAACCACTTGATAAAATGGGAACAATGCAGACTAGAAAAAACAACATAAAAAGTTGTAACAACATAAAAAGTTATTCATGGAAGAAAGGCAGGCAATTTGTAGTTTCATATGATCCTTTTGCTGCTATTCACTCCATTATGAGCCTTAGCGTCTCGATTGGCACATCAAAACTCGATGTGGTTTAAGGAGAACATCAACTCCCCAACTAATGGCTGAACCATTTGAAGCTGCTTGTTGCTAAAACGAACTTAAAGTAACGCCACTATAAAGCTGAGGCGAGGAGCATAATAACTGCAGAGAATCACTCAAAGAAGAACATAGCAATGTGGGTAGCCGGGGTCAACAATCAATCGAAATTGAAGATCCCACAGCTGGGCAGTGAAGAACGAAACCACAGGGGAGTGCAGAAGCAGAAAACCAAGGAAGCAGACAAGCAGTAGACACCTCAACACAAAAAACAAAAAACATAAACATTTAGCTACCATGAGATCCAACGACCTAAATTCAAAATAAGTAGTTCCTAGATAGAAGCCACAAGATTAAAAAAAAAATACACTCGGAATCATAACCAGTAACCAATCCACCAGATGAAGTAAAGGGGGCGGCCCCACTTACACAGTTGTGGATCATGTCCAATGATATTAGATACACAACTTCAAAAGGTTCAAGACTGCATCTGGCAATTATCTTCCCACTCTTGAGCTCCTGCTTATGTGGCGATCCCCGAGGCTTTTTCTGCACATACCCCACCATGGAAACAATGTAAAAGATGAATAGTTCAATTCATCAATGCTTAAAAGAGGGGAAATAAAAATCGTGATCATTAGTGCATTTTTCCCTGTTAATTATGACTTGAACTAAATTGTGCATGCACAGTTTACTTCAAAGGCACCGAGTGAATGCACAACTACATGAAACTCGTTCGAATAATATGGACTCTAGACAGACATAAGGACAATAACACGTACTAATGCCTGATCAAATACTGTACTGTCAGAAGAAATTTAGAAAAAATATGAACAAGAAATGGTTGAAAAAAGAGACTCATAATAAACATGTCTACCCAGAATACAAGATGTCCATGAAGAAATCCTAATTCATAAAAAAAAATTAAAAATTACCCATTAGTATAAGAAACTTCATCTCTTCCACGGTATGGGGATCGGCTGGAGTTGCGGTCACGAGGTGACAAACTGCGGCGCCTAGGAGAATGACCACGAGGGCTGGAAGTCCTGGTACAATTCAGTAATTCCGGTAAACTATAAGAAGCAATTGAAAACATCTTTCAACTTAATTTTTTATTACACCAGGGGAATACAGCTCATAAAATAATAATATTCTTATTCTGCTTCAGGAGGATTACAAACCTTACTTTTGCCAGGAGAATGGGGAAGCAAGGTATCAATACTTTAATACATTTTTGATATCTCACCTTTGACCATAGCTTGGGCTCCTCCGATATCTAGGGGGAGTGCGACTCCGACGTTTTCCTGCACCTCCACGCTGCCGGCACTCACGAGCAAAATGGCCTGGTTCACCACACTCATAGCACTTCGAGTCGGAACCACCAGAGTGACCGCGACCATGCCCACGCCCACCCCCACCTCCACCTCTAGAATTGTGAGAGAGTTCAATTTTCCAACCATTCTTACCTATTCCAAAATTATTGTGAGCAGAACATACAAAAAGGTTTGCAATATAAATATACTCAACAGCAGATGATTATCAGAAAGTGTATGAAATGACGTAATTCATTAGCCACCCAAAAGTAATTTCAAAGAGATAAGAAGTCTGTCCAGACTAGTCTTGCTATTTCAGAAAGGCAGATAATATGAGTGTGATATTTAATAACTGATTCATAAAGTTATAATTCCAAAATATCAAAGGCAAACCATCTAGTTCACGGATTGCATCTTGAGCATCTCTTCGGTCATCAAAATCAATGAAAGCATAGCCAGGTGGCCTCCTTGCAACCCAAATGCTTCAGAAAAAAAATTTAATCAGTTAAAAATGAGTGAAGCATTTCCCCAGCCATACAGAAAGAATGGTAGGTTTACTACCAATTTGGGAATACATAAGAACCGACATATTCTTCTTTTTCAAAAAAAATAAGTGAAGCCAAGAGAACATCAAAAGACAGCAACTAAAGCAAGTAAATTTGCCATTCTAATATTCTATTGCAGTAGTAGTGCACCAAATTGACTTCAACATTCGAAAGCTTGTTTAACTTGGTTAGATCCCTGAAATACCTTCTTATTACTCCAAAGGTACGGAACTCATCTTCCAGATCCCGCTCAGTTACTTGAGGGTCTAGGTTCCCAACATAGACTCTTGACATATTGTCTTGAACAAGCACTGATCCAAACGCAGCCAAATAGGTAAGCAGTACATTACAAATATTTATACTCATAAAGCTAGATATGAACAACTGAACATTATAGCAATGCCTCAACATATCATAGCAGATTCAGTTCCACTTTGTCAATTTAAGTATGAATTTATCACATTATTCATTGTTTGTAATTTTAACTCACAAAAATCAAATGACAAACCAAATTGCTAAAATGATAATTCTTGAGGTTGTATACATCACTCCCAAGAACAAGTCCTTGAAGAATCATGAGACTAAAACCACTCTCTTGGCGCAACCCCACCAAGTTGGTCAGGCTATGGTAACCACACAAGGTTATAAGTTCGACTCCCAGTGAGAGCAGCCTATTGGCTGCTAAGTTTGAGCCGACCTTCTAAGTTTGAACCTATCATCTATGGGCATCCTAGGTTGGTTTAGCCGGTGCACGAGCAAAACTATAACTTATAGCTTAGTTTAAGCTACAAATAATATATAAACTATATTTGGTAACTATAAATATAAAACATAATATAAATAAATTATCTCTAACTTTCCCATTCCCATAGAACACATGCTCACAAGTATGCAGTAAAACAACGAAAATTGTCGGTGTAATTAATTCAGTGTGGCGCAAATACTTATGCCTCATAATGTCAGGAAAATAATTGCATCCAGGAGCAAAGATTCAAAATCATCTAAAAGTTGAGACTTTCAGAAACCAAACTAGGGGAAAGAACGGTTTTCTCTGGTAATTGGAAAACATGTTTTACAAATCGGAGCAATTCAACACATAATTTCAAAAAGTTGCCATCACCCGTCTAAATACAGACCTAAATGTACTCAAATATACGACGAGAGAAGAAATCAGCGAGGTTCACCTGGAAATCCGAAAAAAGACAGCCCTTTTCACCTTGTGCGAACAGAGCGTTTCGGCTTGGAGAAAGAGAGATAGTGAGATTTCGGAGTTTCAGCAATAATTCGTGTTATCGTGTATGTCGGGTTGAAGAAGATAAGACGGTAAAAATACTACTTAAAAAAAAAAAAAAAAAAAAAAAGGTGAAATAGATAATCAAATTGTAGACAATAATATAATTAAGCTACTAACCTTAAAAAAGTAATAATTGAATCCATAAATTAACAAATTTTATACATTTAGTCTAATTTACAAATTTCACAGGTCATCTTAAATTTATATTTTTAAAAATTATTATTTAAAAGTAATTATTTAAAATTAAAAAAAAAAAAAAAAAAGAGAATAAGAAACACGTCTCCGGAGTTCATCTCCGGCCAGAGACGAAGAGACTTTTCGTCGGCAAATTATGTTGTACATCCATATGCACCATGCATGGTGCATACAGATGCAAAACGACGTCGTTTTGCATCAAAACGCGCGTTCTATTTAAAAAAAATCAGTTTCGATTCCCAGCAACAACATTATGTTATTCATTTTTTAGTTCATTCATTTTGAATTTATAGTTGTGAAATTCTGGATGTGTAGTTATGAAGTTATGGATGTGTAGTTATGAAGTTATGGATGTGTAATTATGCAATTCTGAATTTATAGTTATGAAGTTATGGATGTGTAGTTATGCAATTCTGGATGTATAGTTATTAAGTTATAGATGTGTAGTTATGCAATTTTGGATTTATAGTTATGAAATTATGGATGTGTAGTTATGTAATTCTTGATGTATAATTATGAAATTATGGATGTGTAGTTATGCAATTTTTTATTTTTTATTTTTTGGTTTAAGTTAGACGTCAAAACGACGTCGTTGTTGCATCCATATGCACCATGCATGGTGCATACAAATGCACAACATAACGATTGCTCTTCGTCTCTGACGAAACTTCTTTGTCTCCGACCATGGAGACGAAGAAACCTTCTTATATAATATTTATTGACCAATATAAAAATATATTGCACTTTCACTAAATAATATTACCCATTAAGATTATAATTAATAATAATATTTCTAATCACATTCTTATATTTCAAAGTAGTATATCATTGCAAGTGAACTACTAATACAATAGTAGGTACACCATTGATATATGTAACTATATACCGTTATAGTTTTCTGGAATTTAGCATAGTTGATTCATTCTCGGACATATTTATTTAAAGGTCATGACGGGAGATAGCATAGTGAGAGTTTGAATTCCACTAAAAATTCTTGTACACACATGAATATTTGAATATGACCGATGACTTAATTTTTTTTTTTTTTTTTTTTTTATCATAAGGAGAGGGGACCCCAGAATAGGCTAGCTATTCTCACTGCGCACCTGGGTAGTACGCATTCTATCTCTTTCAATACACTCGTCCATACCAATAGGACATTTTTCCAGTTCCCTCCAATTCATGTCCATCGTCGCTCCCAAGAGCGCAGCGGCATCAGCACTCGCGTTCTATTCTCGATAGATACTAAGGATTGAGACCCTCCAATCCTTTGTGAGCCAGTCGCGAATCTCCTCCATATAAACACAAAGCGGTCCCCTCAGTTCATCGGTCCCAGTGATCCATTGAACAACTCCCTTGGCATCAGATTGAATCTCAACGTCTCGAATACCATGGTTCCAAGCCCAAGCAAGACCCTTTGAGATGGCCTCCGCCTTAACAACAGTTGCGTCTTCATGGTTGGACTTGCCACAGAAGCCTCGAACCCATTTACCATTTGCTCTTTTGAGAACTCCTCCACAGAAGCCTGGAGAGTGGTTGGTTTCACGCTAGCATCCACGTTCAGAGTCCATCCATGACTCTCCGATGCTTTCCAGCTGGTATTCCGCTCTCTAGGTGTGGCAGTGCCAGTGGTCCTCATGATGTCCCTCTTTAAAGCTCTGTGACATTCTGTTACAACTTCCCTGATCCACGCCAGTTTCCTGTTGGTATCGATCACCTCACCTCTGAAAATGCTGTTGTTTCTCCAAATCCAAATCCACCAAGCTGCGATTGCGAAGAGGGACGACCTGCTTACATTCCCTGTGACCGATGAGTTAATTGACGACACATAATGTGAAATTATGTGGGTTTAAGATTAATCACGCGAAGCTTGATAAAAAATTATATACAGTTATACACAATTAAAAAAAAATTATATACAGTTATACGCTTTTTTTTTTCTTTAATTAATGGATTATTAATTCTTTTTGTTGTTTTTTTTTTTAGTTAAAAATTTAGGCGTATAACCGCTTAGAAAGGTGGGGGAGTGGTTCCTGAATTCCGCAGGAAGATTTCGAACTTCAATCCCTAACCTCTGCAAATCTCCATAACCGTTCTGAAACGGATGAAGAAGAAGAAGAAGAGCAATGAAGGTTTTGAGTTCTGCGAGGTCTGCAAGCTGAACCACAACCAAGGCCGGCGGCACAACTTCTTCCCCAACCACAAGAAGTCGCTGGAGGCAGCGCTCTCTCGCTTTCGATCGAAGCTTGCCGACCTCCGCTCCTCCCTCAAAAACCCTACCCCTCTCCGCCCCGAACACGCCTCTCTCAACCGCCTCTGGTGCCGCTTCTGCCAATTTGATATTCCTGAGCTTCACAGCTTCTTCAACAGGTCCAGTGTAAAGCAATTTATAGAGCAAATTGGAACTGATGCTGATTATTTGTTGTTTAAGTATTGGTGATACTGTTTTTGTGATAACTGTAATTTAGTGAGAATGCGATTGCGCATCTGGCTAGCGAGGATCATTTGAAGAAAGTGAAAAGATTCCTTTGGAAATATGGCGGTGGAATGGACAAGATTGATTGTTACCGGATTACGGAGGCTGATTTCGCCAAGGTGCCTTTCTTTGGCTCGCTGTCTCACTATGAAACATAGATAAGCTGAAATATACACAAATACACACAATTTATTGTGATTTTAAACATTGTATCTACCGTGTACTTTTCTGGCAAATGTTAAAGACCAGAGCTGAAGTTCACTCACATGTTTTGTTTAACAATTGCTATACACACACACACACACAAAGATGGACCAAACAATTGCTAGACATTTTCAGTTTGCATTGACTGTTCATTTCTTTTCCGTCGTATTTACTGTTTTAACAGTCTACATCTATTATCCTCTGCAGTGGGAGAAACAGTGCAAAGCATTAAAGACCGAGGCTGCTGGTGAAGGTTCTCATGGGCCTTTAATTGGACCCTCAAATGATATCCACAATAAAATGAACTCTGACTATGTAAATAGTTTTGGAAAAGATAATATTCATGCTGTTAATGTTAATATTTCAAATTCTGTTGTGCCTTTACAAAATTATACTAATGAGAGATCTCAGATATATAATTCAGAGTTACCAGTCACACAGGGTGGTTGTCCTCATTTACATCACAGTTATGCATGCTTATCATGCCATCCTCCTGTTAATGGATTTGTAAGTCATCAATCTTTCCTTGCTTCTCTTTCCTTCTTTCCTCCCTTTTAGTTGGCAAGACTATATTATTCTCTTTCAAGTTTAGTAAATATGATTTTATGTTGTTCTTTGAATATGTGAGCTCTCTCTCTCTCTCTCTCTCTCTCTCTCTCTCTCTCTCTCTCTCTCTCTCTCTCTCTCTTTCTGTCTTTGTTTTTATTTGAGCTTTCTTTCCCTTCATGGTGATTTTTAAAAGTCTCGTGTAATATTTTTTCTTGTTTGTTTTGCTACATGTCTGTCAAAGGTCATGGTATGTACTATGTAGGATATTGTTGGTGGTTACTAACATTAATTTTAGTTGCTTCTTCAACTTACTTTTTGTTTATCTATGTTCTTCAAATTTTAGATCTCTCTTCCAGTGTCCTTGAAGTTTAACATTTATGACTTTCCATGTGCTTTTGAGCAAAAGTTTGGACTGGTTGATATTTTGCTATGCTCCTTGTGTTTTCTTGATGACAAGTAAAGGCTGACCATTTTATTATTAGATACTAATAGGCTTGTTCATTCCTGATCTTACTAAAGGTCAGATATAAAATTGTATATTGTGTGATGCTTTTCATATTTAAAGAGATATATTGGAATATCAACCCCAATAGTTTTAAAATGGAAGTCCTAATTTCTGAATTTGTAAGAAGAATATCTTATTAGGAGAAGAGATCCAAACGAGAGAAGTAATGCCTTGGATCTGCTGGTGGCAGACATGTAAGATGTTACAGAAATGTAACAATTGTAGAGTTTGTATGATTAGTACTGATATAAAAAAGTCCTTTTACCTTAGTGGTTGTATTTCATTTCATACAGCTGGACTATATTATGTAGTACATCTTACCTAAAGTTGTATCTTGACCATAAAAAATTATTAGAAAGTTCCTATTTATCAATTCATTATATTTGAAGTTGAGAGTTCATTAAATTCTCATGCAGTCATGCTCCTCATTCACTACACCTTTTATTCTGTGTAATATGCCATCTTAAAGAAGCTTTTATAGGACCATAAACCAACAGAAGGTAACATAGTATGGGCAACAATGAGCTGACTCATGCTAAGTTATAAACCTGCTTACCTTCTTGGAATAACACAATTTTAGATCTATGTGGAACTGGAGCAACTAACCCCCTGACATTGATCACAAATCGGTCAGTTCATAACCAAATGGCCCTCTTCATGGCCCTGGTTAATAATCAAAACACAGCAACCACTGCGCACCCACAAAACACCACTGCTTATGATTTCCACACACTTCACCTTAACTTCTAAATCTCCAAGCATGCTTGGTAAACTATGTGGCTATGCCACATTGACCTCAGTAGGATCTGGTACATGCATGCTTTGTTTACAAGAAAGACAACTTTTGTATGTCCGTGCCTGCATGCTTGAACATATGTGAAAGTTTTGATAAAAACATTTAGCACTTGCCCCCTTGCCAAGCCTTGTATTAAATTGGGTATTCTATAGGCCATAAAGCTGAAGATATACTCAACTTTTGAAAAACTACTTTTTATATGCATTGGAAATATGATGCATTTTGGCCCTGTTTGGTAAAATGGCTGTTTGCTGTTAGCTGATTGTGTTAATTAAAGAGTATAAATACTTGATAACATTAGTTGATTGTAGAAAAGTGTTTGGTAAATTAGCTGTTAGCTGATATCTGTTTGGTATAATTTTTTTTTTCTCAAAAAGCTAATTGAAAAAGTTGCTAGGAGTAGCTTTTTTAATTTTAGCCTTCTGGAGTTGCAAAAAGCTAATTAACCAAACATTTATATTGATATTTCAACTAAATCAAACAATTAATAGTGGTCAAATAAGCCAAAATTGGCCTATAGGCCAATTTTTTACCAAACAGGACCTTTGTCTTCTATAGAATTTATCTTGTAAATGCTGATGTTGAAAATGGAATAACTGTGTCAATTTTCTGTGATGAATTAGCTCCTATTGTATTAAATATTTATGAAATTTCATCTTTTCAAATTTGGTCATGGTTGCCTCCACATTAACAAATTCAATATCTTGGTTTGTCATCATAACAGGCACTCCCAGATGAGAGAACTGCCAAAGGGGAAACAACTTCTCTTGGTAAATATGAAATATATTCTTGTTCACTGAATTCTGTCTGTGTGGTATAGCATTTTTGGATGCTTAGAGTCTTAGACATTCTGCACTCTCTTTCTGTATGGCATTATTCATCTGCATTTCTTTTATTTTCAGGTTTACCAAACCTTACAAAAATTTCATCAGCAGTACAAGAAGACATCTTAGGGAATGTTCATTCTGGAGCACCTCCTCCTTGGCTTAATGCTATTGAGCAAAATCAGCTCGAGTTTGTGTCGAATTCGGGGGAAAATGACCTTTATTATCTATCTCAAAAGAGGAAATCCTCTAAACTAAACCCAAAACGGGTTGGTGCTGCTTGGGCTGAGAGAAGAAAACGTGAGATGGAGTTGGAGAAGAAAGGAGAACTTGTAATGAACAAAGCTGATGCAAATTGGCTCCCCAATTTTGGTAGAGTTTGGCAATCTGGCAGTAGGAAGGAATCTAGGAAAGAATTTCAGATTGAAAACAAGATATCTGGCAAGATTGGAAGCCAATCAACAACTGTAGTACAACTACAGCCTTATATCAGCAAACGAATGGTAAGCTTTTTGGTCATTCTACTTCACATTATGGCTTGATATATGTGAAGGTAATTGCTATCTCTTGTATTGATTGGGATCTGCTGAGGTTAGGCTAGGACCAGTTTTTACTGATTTTGTTTTGTGTACTAATGCATTTGAGTGTCATCAAAGCTCTTTGTCTTAGTTCTGTATGCTTAGAATTGAAAGTTGATGCCTATTGATTTACCTGTTAGTTTATTGTCCCATCTTACTTTCTAGAACTATTGCTCCTACTGTATTTAGGCATTTAGCTGTTATGTAAGTTCCTATGTTGGTTTTTTCCAGTCTTCCTTGCCTTGGCTTATGCTTTGTGTAATCATTTCAGCGCAAGGATTCGGTGGATGGTGCACTGGAGCAGCCTACCGGTTCTGAATAGACTGTGAGTATTCGGTGGATGGTGCACTGGAGCAGCCTACCGGTTCTGAATAGACTGTGAGTAATAGTTTTGCGGAGTACATCTTTGTATAAAAATTAAAAATAGTTGGCCATGCATTTGCACAGTTAAGGGAAACTCGTAGTCACCGGATAAACCTTGTTCCTGTGTAATAACTTGCGATTCAAGACTTTGCTTCTAGAGCCACTGCGGATGTAAATTGCGAGTCGCACAATTAGTCCACCGGTCAGATCCTAGTCTTCATGTGCGTACAAGAAATCCAATTCATACCTTCCAGCATCCTTGGGTTATTTTTCCCATAAATGTTTTCAGTAGGATTAGAACTCCCCATTGTCGCCTCCAATCATGACTAAGTCAGGCGAACCAACTATGCTAAGCCTCGGGGGAGATCAATAGATAATTTTTTGATATTAGGTTTTGGTGATATATGTATAGGTAGAATTTCTACCTCACATAGTTTTTTGATAGTATGGTTTTGAGACACAGTTCTACAATTCATTTAATACAAACTAAAATTCAAGATATATGTATCACATACTTGTGTAGATTATTTTTACGAATATTTCAATTGTAAGAACAACATTAATAGAGGTTTTTGGGGAAAAATTTGTACTGTGTTAAGAGCAAAATCAAAATTCTTTTGTAAGAATTTAATTTTTCAAATTAAAAATAAAAATAAAAATTGCAATTGTATTGGATCTGACTATCTGAGAGAGTACATGTGCCCGCTGGGCGATTAAACTGGTCGTCAATTGATGACTACTCCAATTATTATCTCTTTTTATATTATTGTTTATAATTTTTGTTTTCTTTCTCTTTTTATATTATTGTTTATAATTTTTGTTTTCTTCGTATTTAGCATGGAGAACACAAGAAACTTTTTAAAAATTCACCATTGACCATACCCCAATAAGTTAATCAAGGAAAAAGATGTTTTAGAAAGCACAAAAGCTGCCCAGCTGCATATCTTTAGTTGGCAAATTATTTTGCTACTCTCTAGTCTCTCTACAAGGCTCTATGAATACATGAATGTTCATGTCTGCAGTTTTCCTTTCAGAAACTTTTCCTTCTCCAGTAAATATAATCGAACTTGGTAGAGTTGATTCTAATGCTGCTTCTCTTCATCTTTGTTTCTCGGTATCTATGTACAGAGCTTCAACATAACACAGGTCATGCAGCCAAGAGCTTCTGAATATCCTTCTGTGGAAGATGAAAGCAAATAAATTTAGCATACACTAAAATAAAATTGAAAGGTTGGAGTGTAGGAAACCGGGAAGAAAGAGGGGGTGGGGGTGGGGGGTGGGGGGCACATTGACATTGCAAGAGAATTTAGTCTAGTGTTTATGGCATTAGGCATGTTGAGACCTTTAACGGGTTTTTGGTTCAAGGAATATGTTTAGGTGATGCAATATTCGCGGGAATTTCACATAACCTAAGAATTTGGGGGGAATGTGATTCCCATGAATATCACAAAAAATGAACTAAAAACAAAGTTTGGGAGCCTTACATTCCCATGAACCAAAAAAGGGCATATAATATTACAGTATTCACATTCATGAAGTTATGTGATATAATTTGAACCAAACACTCCGTTACAGTATGAAAGCTATTTATCGAAGGGCAAGATTGATAATTCATAATTGACTTCTAGGAGCCTCTTAGCCTCAGTCAAGAATGATTCCAGATTCCATATATTCAGGAGTGGAACAAGGTACTCGATAGAACCAAAAACAATACTCTCAAATCTTGGCCATGCAATGCCTTTCTTTACCATCCGTTTCCACCCTATGTGACTATGCCACTTATGAACAGTGTTCGTTAACTAAATTACAGCATGGTTTTTTTTTTTTTTACTCTTTTTTTGGGGTTCTGTTTTTTGTTCCCTATTCAAGACCAGGCAGGGAACACGTGTAGCTCCCAAGGCCTAGAATGCCCAATGTCAAGGCATGGAAACACCTCTTATCTTCAGGGGGTGTAGGGCTTCAAGTTTTCACGGTTATGGACAAAAGCTCTCATGGGGACTACTATTAATAGGAATTTAACCAGATGCATGGGAGCCCAAGAATCAACCTTGGCGATCAAGTTAGGGATCTCATTGTGCAGGGTCAAAAGCTCCATAATGTCTAGGGAACAGGATTCAATCCAAACAGTAAAGAATCCTTATCAGGAGAGTAGATGAATTTAATCATTCAAATTAAAGCTTCCTTAAGAGAAACTAACTAGATTGCGAAGAGACTAATCAACACATATCAAATTAAAGCATACTTACGAACAGTTAATTAACTTGAAATAGTGTTTGAGAAAAAAATCAACTATTGCTATTCCTTGCACAAGTTGATAAGTAGTTGATTTAAACTATGAACTCTAGAGTGGTTAAATAGGCCAACACACATAGTTCACATCCATGATTCCAAGTAGCAGAAAGTTACTAAGTTATAAATGAGTAAACGGATACCTCTATTTGGAAAGGAGAAGTTGTTGGCTGATATCGTTCTACAACTTTTCCATTTTTGTCCACAAGAAACTTCTCAAAGTTCCATTTGATCAGATCACCCAAGAACCCTCCCGCATTTGATTTTAGGAATTGGTAAACCGGGGCTGTGTTTGGCCCATTCACATCAACCTGTTGCCATGAATTTATTAATCTATACCATTCAGCATTCTATTAAAATAGCATATTGGGAAATCTCAATACAACAAACCTTGTCAAAAATTGGAAATTCAGCTTTAAATCGTGTGCAAGCAAACTGCTTGATCTGCTCATTGGATCCCGGCTCTTGCCCTCCAAACTGATTACATGGAAAAGCAAGAATTTCAAATCCTGCAATAAATGGAATTAAACAAGTATTATCATATGTCCGATCAATCGGAAAGTTCCACCGACACAAGAACTAGCTAACCTTGGGTTTTGTACTTTTCATATATATGAGAGAGTTCTGAATAGTTAGATGTTGTCAAACCACTGAAAATCCAAAAATAAAAAACTCCAGTCAGATCAGCAACCATGACTCAGTGCCAAAATTCAGTAATATATATATATATATATATATATATATATATATATATATATATATATATATATATATATATATATATATATATATATATATATATATATATATATTTATTTATTTATTTATTTATTTGAGTGACGAGGCCACAAAAGAAACCAACAGCCACTACACGGGGGGTGTGCACTGGGTAAACCTCGACTTGTGACCCTAGGCGACAAAGGACCACAAGGAGGTAAACCAGCCTAGGTTTTGCCTATAGCTGACCAGCTCAAACCAAGAAAGCCAATAGGCTGCTCCACCGGGAGTCAAACTTGTAACATTGTGGTTACTAAGCCAACAACCTGACCAATTGGGCTGGGGTTTCCCCAAAGAAAGATCATATTTGATATTTAATGATCATGGAAAACGGCAATGTTTCTCCACTACATCATTTATATAAGACAAAGGAGAGAGTACCATCTGGAAGCAACATTAACAATCAACAGAACCTTTCCCTTAAATTTACTGAGTGAAACATCTTTCCCATCAATGTCCTGCATTGAACAATAAAAAAATGTAAGAGTGAGTCACCAACTGGCATTCTATGTATAATATTACTCCCTCAATTTAATAGGCTAACACAATATGATACAAAGCAAGAAGAAGAAATAAACAAAACATCAATTTTCAAGAGAGGTCTTAAAAAGGAAATTTTCTTCCTTTCAAGCATCAACTTTTTAACATTTACTCTCTTCCCCATTTTACATGTCATGTTTAAAACCTAACTTTCTCTTCAATTTACCTGTCATGTTTACTCTTCATTTTCAAATCTCAACTCTTTCTTCTATGTTTACTTTTTAGTACTAAATTTGATTTTTTTTTTTTTTTTTTTTTTTTTTTTTTTTTTTTGTATTTAATAGTATTCTAAATATATAAATTTTATATACAAATAATAAACTTTAACATTATGAAAAACTGAATTAACTCTAACCGAATTAAACACGGAGGAGTATTCCAAATTCCAAATAATAATACTAATAATAAAATTCAAATCTCCAATTGGAAACAGGCAAAGATGCTAATTCCCAACCCTAACTTCAACAAAATCCAATTTAATACTGAATAAGAGCAGTATTCTGCAGCTAATACTGAAGATAGATATGAAGAGTTGATAGAACACCTTGACAGTGAAATCATGAATAGACTTGTCGGTGGCAGCTCGGGAGTATATCTTGGCGGAGAGTTTGGAGTTGAGAAGGGGCGCGGAGAGCTTGGAGGATGGGAGAGAAAGGCCAATATGGGAAAACGACGATTTTGAAGAAAGAAACGCCATGGAAGGAGGTACGTTTGAGCTCGGGTTGAGCTTGGCAGTATTAACGAAACCAAAGGTTATGGGCGCTGAGAAAACCGCAGAGAAAGCCATTGGTGACGTCACTCTGGTATGGCGTAGGGTAAGAGGGTTAACGGAAACAAGGAAATTAGGGGAAGAAGAAATATAACAACAGAAATGGCTTTTGATAGTGGGATGTAATGGATCCACGTGGCTGCTTCGTCTGCCTTCGGATTTTTCCAGTTTAAGTGAGAAGACTGAGAACGATGACTCATGTAATTTTTTATTTTTAAAGTGAATAATCACGTGGTTCATATGGGTTGATCAATAAATATAGGGAAAGTGTAAAAAATGCTTCTCTATAATATGTCAATTATCAATGTCACCCATGAATTATTAGTGGTGTAAATGTTGCCCCTCAATTATAAAAACGGTGCATATATAGCCCCTCTCGTAATGGACATGTGGTTCCCCGTTAGTGTACGACACCGTTAAGTCGGAGTAAATATGTAATTTAGTTGTTTTTCCCTCCCTCGATTCGAAGTACCAGCGATGGACAGCGGTGTGAAACCACATGCCCGTTATGGGAGGGGCTATATGTGTACCATTTTGATAATTGAGGGGCAACATTTATACCACTCATAATTCAGGGGTGACATTGATAATTGACATATTATAAGGGACATTTTTTTTTACAATTTTTCCATAAATAAATAAATAAATAAATAAATAAATATATATATATATATATATATATATATATATATATATATATATATATATATATATATATATATATATATATATATATATAGAATTATATGAAATCTTGTCCACTTAAAAAATTAAAATTAATGTCAACTATTTATCTTGTCAGATAGAACGGTTCCAAAGCTAGGAGAAAAAAACAAAAAATACAACGATATTTTAATAATTTTCTTCAATTTTAAAAATGCATTGTGCAACACTATACTGTGCATTTTCATTAGTTTGAAAGTGCAGTACACTTAAAATTCACTTTTAGTAGTTTAAGGATTCACTTTTTAGTTTGATTCAATCATTTAAGATTCATTTATACTATTTAGGGTTTTAATATTTATGACTTAAAGGTTATGATTTACCTTTTCTGATTTAGGTTTTAAGATTTATCCATGAATGTATCTATTTTAAAAATTTCACTCCATAATGCTACAAAGAGCACTTTTAAAGTTAGATAAAATTATTTTAGAAACATATTTAAATACAATAATAAAGCAATAAACATATATCATATATTTTTTGAAAACAACATATATCATATATGAAATAGTTGAAATAAATTCATCTATATTTCTTTTTCACATTTTAAATGTCAATAATTTTTTTTTTAATTTTTTTTTTTTATAATGAGTAGGATCACAATCCGCAACACATAAATGAACAATATTCATGAAAGTATGTTATCATTGCAATAACTGATGTTTTTAAAAAAATTAATTCAATATTATGACTGAATCTCAATTATACGATTCATCACATATATAATCATGATGAATTAGTATCTCTAAAATCTGGATATCTAAATTTAAAATTTGATCAACTCTCCATCCACTAATGTGAAAATGGAATATGCATCAAATGCACATTTAACATATACAAAGTAAAATTTCAATTGTGTATGTAGTCATAATATAGGATCCATAATTCCTTTTGTTTTTGTAATTGTGTTTACAGTTTTTTTTTTTTTTTTCTTCTTCTTAACCTTTTCAATTTTCCAAAACCTTATATTTCTATTTCTATTTACAAATTAATGGCCACTCATTGAAGGACAAATTATATTATGGACCATGATCTACATTAAGTTGAACCACTAATAAATATTTGTTTTTAGTATATTAAATGTTCGTTTTTAGATTATATACCTGAAATTAAACTTTCAGTACACAAAAAATGAACTTTCAAATAATGAATATTTAATGTACTAAAAATGAACTTTTAGTATATTAAAAAATAAATCTCTTCCCAAAAAATAAATAAATCTTTTGCTAGTGGTATTGCATTCCAATATTCATCAAACTAATTTACTTAAGAAAAAACAAAACTTTTATGTAACTCAAATTAATGTTATACATCGTACAACAGTTCCTATCCCTGGCCATCCAAATCCTATTTAATGGTAATAACATAGGAACAATACAACATAGGATTCCAGGTCTACCTACATTAAAAAACTACTCAGGAAAAGTTTATAAAATTAATAAATAAAACTGTCCTTTAAAATATATGATATATGAGGTTACCTTTCCACTGTAAAATGAAATTAACTTCAAAATTTCAGTCTTCTGGTGCAGAAGCTCTAAGTTTGCAGAGCCTTTTGCACCTCATCAAGGCAGGCTTGAAGGTCTTCATATTCTTGGATGTCCGAAAACGCCTCCGCCTGAGTTTTTGAAAAATGACAATAACTCGTACATTAATCACCGATTTTATAAGGGGGATGGATAAATACTACTCCGTAGATAATAACTCTGGGTGTTCAGTTCATATTATATTGCATAAACTCAAGAATTTTACACTTCCTAAAGATTTAGAGGGAATGAGATCCCCGAAAATCTCATATTACCTAAGGAACCTCACCGTTTTGCAAACCAAACGAGAATATATATATATAGTGTTGAACATCCCGATGTTTGAAAATAAAGAACTTGCCTGCTTAATAGTGTTCTTCAAGTGCATCTCAGCTGCAAACAACTCTCTACGACTAGCATTGCGGCAAGCAAGTTCCTTGTACACCCTGCAAAGATCCAGCGAAGCATTTGCAAACTTGACAAAGCGATCTTTGTCCTTCCATAAATCAGATCCCTGAGTAGGCGAAGAGAAAGTGAGCACATAAATGATTCAAGTGGGCACTAAAAGAGCAATGCTTCAATATCTAGACAGAACAAGCAAGGTGAAGACCCTTCAGTCTGACATTAAAATAAGTAACAAATTCATTATTTGAAACTAAGCTTCACATTCATAGATGTGTCCATTTCTTGGAAAATTTCTGTGGACATTTAGGGTTCAGATGTTGGAAGATTAGTTGATTAAAATATATCAGATCTAAGAAATTCTCTAAGGAGTTTACTTGTAATGATTGAATTATAAAAACAGAGCTTAAGTAATACCTGGTATGATCTGATTTGCTTCAGAAGGGCTTCAGAACACATAGTCAGATCTCCTTTGAGTTTGTGCCACCTAGCATACAACCCCCACGTCTCTGCACTACCACCGCTTTGTACTATCTAGATCAAAGAAACAAGATCATTTAAAATCATTTACAGAAAGAACCAGGAATGCTTTTGGCAGATTTACCAATTTCTAGGTGACAATTCAAATAGATACAGGCATGATGCACCTGGCGGATGAGAAAAGATTGTCATATTTACTGTTCATAATGTTTTTTTTTTTTAAATTATATTAGGAGTTGTCATGCCACTCCTTTACGGCAGGGGTATGTCTCTACATTGTGTGTGCTCTTGAGAAAGCACTTGAACCATTTTGCTTATAACAAGAAAGAAATTGCATCTGTTTCGTTTATCAGGAATGAACAGTGGTATAGAACCAGATTCAATTTACCTGCCGTAAGATTTTGCCAAGCAACTGAATTAAGTGCTCAGTTTCCCGTTCACAAGCCAAATTTGCTTCTGAACCCACTATTTTGTCAGCATGGTTCACATCGGAGGTGGCATCAGCAGAGTTAGTGATGTTGCAAGATGCAAGAGACGCAGAATGGGTAGTTAACACACGCATTTCAAGATCCTGCATCACCTTCTCTAACAATTCATTATCAATTCTCTTTTTCTTAGTTATATCCAACACCTTTTGTATAGCCTCCAATGCCTGCATGAAGATTCTGAGATCAATGCTTTATTTCACACATCTCAAAATAAAGTACTAAAGTAGTAATATAATAGCATAATCACAAGTAAAAGCCACATAGCAGATTATGTTTATAAGATAGATATCATTCAAAAGAGTTAGGAGGTCAGATTCTGATGCACATAGGTACTACTCATCAGGATGCTACTACACACTCCTTATACAGGTAGTCAGGTACTAGGAGATATGGCCACCTCGGTCCATATTATTTCGTATCATTAAGCAATGTATTTCTATACAATGGGATATATTCATATATTACTCAGATACTGAAGCACACAGTGGCCTGTCTGGTCACTCAGATGCAATGATCGTATAGCGGTATAGGTCTGACTGGTATTCTTGTTTAATTAAACAGACCTTTTATAGCCCTTGTAATGTAAAGCAAGTTTCATGTTGGGAATTGGTCAGGGAGGAATACATTGGAGTAACTTGAAATGACTCCTTCATGATCATACCTCTAAGGGAAAACACTAAGTAGCCAAAATGTCCTTCAACTAAAGAAACTCATTGCTTCACTTTTCTATGGTTTCTCCTTTTCATTTCGAAATGAAGAACAAAGAAATAAAAATATAAAGGCACGAGAAACATTTTGTTAGAGCAGTATACACCAAACAAGTTTAGAGGCCAGCATGAAGTACAAAATTACCTGGCTGGCGTTGCCAATATCTGCAGCAACATGGCTAAAATTTTCCCACATCTGCCAGCTGTCTCGCCTGCAAAATGTTGTAAAGTCGAAAAAATAAGACTCCAAATAAATTCAGACATATAACTGAACCATGGGAAAAAGCAGAAAAGATGGGTGTAAAGGATGAGTAATCACTTCAACTTCAATGCTTCCTTAAATGCAATAAAAGCCTCCTTGTTTCTCTTCTTAATCATATGCCTGCACAATTTATTATTATTATTTTTTAAAAATAATAACAAAAACTGAATAGTTTATCTCTTAGGCAAAAGACAAATAAATCCTGGAAGCGAGACACTTATTGATAGAAGCTATATTTCAGCATACAAAAGTCAAGGTCTTGTACAGTCTTGCCAATTATGTTGCGTCAGATTTCCTAATCATCTTTTACTGAATTTTTTCAATGTCAAAGAAACAAAATGCTAAAACTCGAGATGCTCTTTCTACACTTAGGAAGTTCTTGTAAATAATGTACTACAATTCCTTAACAGATCTCAAAGCATATAGTCAACTCAACAGTCCTTATCACATGACCAGCAGTCCATAACATGTGTCTTCTTTCACCATTCTGCTGCATGTTAGAATGCATCTCTCCAGACAGACAATTAAGTTGCTAAAGATACCACATGGGTCTCTCATTGGTGTAAGCAAGCTTCCTTTAAGCTACTACTAGTTCAGTCCCACCCACATCTTCCCAAACTAGTGAATCAAGATATTCCAAGGAGTCAAAATGTGTCACCCCACTCAATTTACCTTAAACTCAGATTGTCACATTAGGAATTTAGGATTTAAGAAATTGTACATCAACAAGAACTGGAACAGAATTAGGTCAATGAGAAGTATGATTGAAATTCCAAAAATAAAAAAATAAAAAAAAAAAAATTGATAAACAGGCTGTAGATATTGCTTCTAAAAGATCCAAAAGAAAATGAGGAAAAAACATACAAACAAGCAATATTATTCCAAGCCTCTCCATTTTCAGGGTCAAGCTGAACAGCACGTGTAAATCCATCAAGGGCTTTGTCCACATCCCTGGCCTATATGATTTTAGAAATTAAAAGAAACTGTATAAACAACCTCTAATAGACACGAGAGACAAAAAAAAAAAAAAAAAAAAAAAAATTGCACTTGATGACTCTTTCCAATATCAGATGCTGAAAATCTGCATGTCAGATGATTTAAATATATAGGTTGGGAGAGAAATAGTTGCCAGTGAACAAAGTCCAAAATTTAGCAGAGACCTTTAATGCAGCAGCACCTAATGCAAACCATCCATCTGGATACATAGAGTTCATTCTCATTGCAGACTCCCTAAGGCCAAAAGAAATTGTCATGAAGTCTGAAGGCATGCAGTAGTGCTATCACCTTAAGAAGTAAACAGAAGCATAATATTGTGTACCATAGAGCTTTTGACTTCTCATAGTCACCCCTATTGTATGCACTACGAGCAAGAGACCGCTGTTGAAAAAAATCTTCTTTTATTATTCAAAATACTTATAGCAGAGTTGAGGAAAACACCGAAGGAAAGAGTAGAAAAGAAAAGCCAAGGTATTCAGGTCACCAGTGCTCGAGCAGACTTGTTGCCAGAAACTTCTTGGGCTTTCTCATAACATGAATCACTATTTGTAACATCACCTAATGAACACCTAGAAAGAATACCAATGTCAAGAGGTTTAGAAAATATCATCACTAAATGCAATTATAAATGGTTCACGTAAGAATTAAGATGATCCATAAAATTCAACATAATTGATGGATTTTTCCTTCCCAAGCGCAAGACAAATTGGGTATTAAGTATGTAATCTTGTATATACGGGATGCATAATGGAAATGTTAAGATAGCAAGCTTAATTTAAGTGCTGGGCATGAAGCCCTTCTGACTTTTTATTACACAATTAATTTGGTATTAGATTACAAAGATTGCTCAGAAAAACAAGCAACATATTAAGAGTAAAAATTACTAAACCCCTGCCCATCCTCTTTCAAAAGAATTTATACCTCTATGTTAAAACCGTTCCCGTAATCCCAAGCCCCCACTGCACAAGTCCATTTTAACTACCCATGCTTCCAACCCTCCTTACTTGATGCACTGCCCCTGCACATCCAATATGGAAAGCGTTATGCTTCCCATTTGATCAACCCATTTTCGTCCCTCAACTGCTCGTTGTTGGATGACCGACCAACCATTAGCCTAACTCAATTGGCACAGCTCACACTCCAAACCCAGGCCCGATTCATTAGGCCTTCATTCCCCATCAATAATAAAATACAGATATGCATATTATATAGATGCCAATTGCAACTGAATCCTTATAAAATTGATGGCAAATATATGTCTTATTGTATATAGATATAAACAATGCACCAAATTAACAGCATAATGAAAGAAAGCAAATAATCTACCCTTAAGCAGTTCATATTCATGGAATGAGCCTGGAAAGTGCAGCTTAACTTAAGGAAAGAAAATTTAGAGAAGACAGTATACGTCAACATACCATAACCTTGGGTCAGAAGGCATCTCAGATAATCGTGCCTTAATGAGATCTACGGCTGCTGCTTTCTTCTCCATTAGCCTACCAGAAGCACATGATGTTTTCAGATGGAACCTCCACTTCCTAGTAAAATCAAAATTATGCATGCAAAAATATATTATTTAAGTTTAGATTGTACCTGTAACAATGAATTAAATTATCCCAAAGCTCTAGATCTTCATATATTTTGACAGCTTCTCCAATCAAGCCACAACTTACTAGTAGATCACCATACTCCCTGGCCAAGAACCAAATGCACTGTCAATATGTTATGTGCTCCCGTCATGGGCAAGAAAACATAGGGAAAAAGGAAGAAAGAATAATAGTTGGAAAAAGAAAAGAAGAGAAGAAGACACTGGGTTTGCTTGAGACCCAAAACTCCCTTAGACCCTTTTTGGGATTAAACTTTTGCTTCTTATTATTCTGAATAATACTCTCTTTTTATAGGGTAAAATACAACTCATAGAATGACTAAATAAGCTAAGTAATCTGTTGAAATCTTCTAAATAATTAAACTACCTAAATTAATTCGAAGACTAAGAATAATAAGGTAAATAACTATTTAGTAATTTCTAAATAACTATTTATTAGTTTCTAAATAACTATTTAGTAATTTATTAATATCTAAAATAAGACTTCCTCAGAGCATGTATCACAATACCATAAAGAAAAATGCATAGAGATGTAAGTATGTAACATAATAGACAATTATATTTTATGGGTAAGATGGAAAGGAAATGATGCAAAAAATGCACTCTTACGTGAACCAACAACAATATTTGAGAAAAATCATGATACTGTTCAATTAGAAGTAATGTAAACAAAGATAACAAACGTACTTGCGCAATGCAGGGATTGTAGGAATATTAACTTCAAAGCAAAAAAGCATCCTCTGCAAAACTCCAGGTGAGGGATCGTATATACTTTGGACCTGGAACACTCGGGAAAAAAAGAAAATACTCAAAATGATACAGAGGTAACCAAAGAAATTAACCTTGCCACAGAAACCAGGGATAACATGAGGCATTTAAGCTAGTAACTTAATGCTGCAAATATTCTGCGTGCCATTTTGTACTCCTTTTACTTATCCTTCATTAGCCAACTCTTGGTAACACTGAAGAATAATTTCTATTTATTAGATGAGGACATGAGGTATAGAAGAGGATAAGATATCAATTAAAGAAGAAAATATAAAGACAATGTCAGTGACTCAGGGCAATAGAACTCTTACAGAAACCACCCCTGACGTGACATTATTTACAGGATTCATCCATAAATAATGTCTTACAATAATTAGTGGTTCCTCCATAAACCCCATCCTACTTTCCTCCATTAAACTATCACAAATCCATTTTTTGAATTTTTTGTTTTTTTATCTTTCTAAATTTTCCGAACATTTTTCTAGTTTCGTTTTACTAATTTTACACATGCTGCCAGAAGATAATCAAGGCAGGATGCTATTTATTAAGTGCATAATAGGCAGTGATACAACTATGATAAATGAACCAGTAGAAAGGAAAATGGCATTGATTTAATTAATGGTAACCATAATAAAATGAGAAGAGTTCAATGAAATGCAATCGACTGACACCATGCAATTAATGTAGCAGCCCTACCAGTTTATCCATCATCAGCAATGAACGCTGCTTTGTACGACTACGAGTTGACTCCCAATGGATGCGTAAAATGTCACAGAGATAATGTATCTGAGTGAAGAAAGAATTTCAATTCCACCATAAAAGAATAAATCTAGTTATTCAAATCAATTAGCATGAACAGACAACCAAAGAGGGAAGGAAACGTTCCTTTGTGGGATACAAAAATTCTGATCTTAAAGAAGTAAAAAGAGCAAAATCAGAAGTCTCATTTGAGAGGTTGAATTACAAGAATTTTAAAATAATAATAATAATTATTATATCACTTCTATCACATACCATGAAGGGTGATGAGGGCTGGGAATCAATTGCCTCTATATATGGAGCCATCTCCCACTCTAAAAAAAAATGTGAGCATAAGAAAACGTCGTATAATGAAGAGAGTAGCATTCCTTTGTTTCTTCTACTACCATCAATTGAGAGACAGAGATAGATTGTGATCACACAGCTTACTTTGTAATTCATCACTCCGAGCACTTCTCTCTATAAAATGACATTGTGCCAACACTACTGCTTGCTGCACTGACTTTAATTGGGTAGTGGCAATACTGGAGTTGGCTTCAGAAGTTTTGGCATCTTCCAAGAACCTTGGCGCCAATAGTATATCAGATGCTTCAGACATTTCACGTAGATGTGGAGGCTGAGCATCTTCACCAGTGATAGAAGCATCACTCTGCAACTCATGGCCTTGTTGAGCAACCTTCTCACCACCATTTGTGCAACCAACGAGAACCAGTTGGGCCTTTGGTTCAACCTGTATTCAAGACTCATTTGAGGTAATGAAGAGCAAGCAAGCTAGAGTCATGTACCATAAACAGTTTTCAATGCCATACCACAACAGTAATTCTACTCAAATTAGGGTGTCTCTTTTGTTTTCTTCCCATAGTTACCAAGATTGTTATCATCACTTTTTCCAGGCAGCTATTATGTTACTTTTTGGATAGTTTCTTCTGAACTAAAACTAGTGGATCAAGGATTAGATTAGGTATGGGAGTAGCAGCTAGCAAATTTAGTTCAGGCATCCAATATAAAGTTGGTCTCTTCCACTGTAAAAGGCGTATTTTACCTGTTTTAGTCCTTAAAAGTAAATTTCCCAGTTCTAATGTTTTCCTTTTGATACAGAAATCTATAGCACTGCTTCATAACCACATATTAAGCCTATTGTTCTAGTTCTACAACATTTTGTTCCTTGCTGATAGTTTATGTTTATCATTCCTACTTTTTGTGACATCAAAGCATAGCACAGAAAGTTCAGTCTTATTTGATGACTATATACCTGATGTACAGTTCGAAAGCCCATGGCCCCACTCAAAGAAAAACTAAGTCTGGATGCTGCTGCTGCTGATTCAAAATGCACTCTGGAATACAAGTACCTTATAAAACTCCATTTCTGAACAAAGTATCAATATGATAGTCAAAGCATCTAACTAAAACAACTCACTTGGAAGAATCAATCCGCCCATAGGTGAGTTCCATGATTCCAGCCTCTAAGCGAAGAGCTGATACAATTGTCAAGGCATCTTCACTTGAGATCTCAGAATTCCAATAATCTCTAGCTTTCTCTGATGTACCAAACTGATTTAAACTTTCAATAGTGTAAACTTGTAGTAGATCAAACAGTGTAGAAGAACGATCATCTAACAATTTCTGCTGAAAGAGAAGCAACCTAGCCAACCACCACGAGATGCTTTTCACCGAGGAAGACACATTGCCTTCTAATAAAAGATCTTTTGTGCTCATGAGCAAGATCTTTGCCAAAATTATATACTACAGAAAAAGAAAGACATAAAGAAGAGAATAAAAGGGCATGTTCCAGCACAAATTTATGATGAAAATCACAAATATTTGAGAAGGAAATGAAAGATGCTTATCCAGATGAAAATCAAGAAGGCACAATAATCTCTCCCCTCTCTAATCTACTCTCCTTTATTATGGTCATTGATTGCATAATGAGACTAATAGGAAGACTGGAATACCATCTCCTCTTTTTTTCTAATCTTTCCATAATTGTGTAATGTAAACAGGATATTATTACTAATGGCAACCAATGTCAGCCAATTATTACCTGAACATTAGAAAATTTAGCACGTAAATCCGAACCTACTGACATTAACTCCTTTTGTGCCCATGTTTCCCATTCCAGCCACCTTCCACTGTCACTCCTCTCTCCATCACAAGTAGCCAAGGCAACTAAAGGCATCTGTGGAAAGATCTCTATTGGGCTGAACCAATAAACACGTAACTGAGTAACTTACCAGCCATAAACTAATTACAGGAAAAAGAAAAAAAAAAAAAAGATGAATTCATTTTCAGCAGTAGTATTGAAACTGTGGCTGACCCAGTAGTGTTGCATTGAACGAATGCAAGGAAAGAGGCAACCGCAACGGACATAACCACAAGAGCCTTAAACCCGTTCTCCAAGCTCAAATCTTCCGAATTTCCATCCCCATTAGTATCGTTGAAGAATGAAGCTACACATCCGGGCACGAACTCGGAGTAGAATTGCTGAGCAGACTCGCCGGAATCTACGAATTGAGGCTGAAATTGAGAGCAGGAGAAGACGGAAAGCACGGCGGGAGAGGAGAGCGCCTGGATATACTGCCCGGACTCAATCAACTCGATGACTTGATCGAACAGGCGGTGCAAGTGCGCGAATGGAGAATCAGTCTGCGGCTCCGGTGACGACGGGGAATGGTCGGAGGGTAGAGTGCAACGGAGGAGACGGAGCTCGGAAGCGCGGATAGAATGGATGATTTTCTCACGTAGTTCCGCCATGAAAGAAGAAGTGGAGAAGATAGGAAGAAGCCTAGTACAAGGGTTTAGGAAGGGTTTGGGGTTTTCTACGATTTAATTTGTGCCTTTATATTAAAGTTAAATGTTTATTTACTACTTTACCCTCTAAATTAATACTCCGTAATATCATAAAACATTGTAAAATTTATTTATTTGGTTGTAAAAATAAATAAAGAATGATTTTTAAATAGTATTTTTGGTCATTGAATTACAAACTAAACTTTAAATTACTTTAGAGTATTCCCAATAGATTAAGTTTATTTAGAATTTTTGTGAGACTCATAAACTGTGTATATAGAAGAACACAACAACAATAATAATAATAACGTGAGAGTGGTCGCCAGTTGACAATAACTCGTACATTTCTAAAATACTGTCATTTTTTTTTGTTCAAGAAACTCAAACACTCGTTCTTTGATCTCCTTTCTCCTCCAAATCAGGCACTAGCTCACCCCCCCCCCCCCCCCCCCCCCCTCCAAAAAAAAAAAAAAAAAACTCCTAAAATGAGAAGGATATTTACTTATGTAATTTGTCACTCTCATTCATTTCTTATTTATATTTAGGCGGTAAATAGATAACACTCTCCTTGTTTCTTACATATTTCATTCTTTATGAGTAAAATTTATATTCATTCAATTCGTATTCTATGATGAGCTAAACATGATGTTAGTCACTTAAGTATAAGGGTAGGATTTTTTTTTTTTTTTTAACAGTAAAAATAAAAGTTTTTTGTGGAAGTATTACTAAAATTTTGAGTCATAGGGTTTTAACTTGACAAGTTTGGGCTTTGTGTTGTAAGGCTTATGTAGAGTATATTTTTGTATAGATTGCATCATTGAAGGGTTGTAAATTATTATATGAATCCGGATGTAAATGTTTATAATTTATCTTTTAAAAATTTAAACTTTATATACTACGAACACATAATATAAACATATATGTAATTGATTACATTGTTTTGTATTCACAAGTTTCTTTCAAATATTGCAGTCATACAATATTAACATATTAGGATTTGATGACCTTGTATTGTATTTCCGCATTTATGTGTTTTGACTTAAAAGCACAATTTATATTCTATAAGTTTACAATTTCAATATTAAAAATACACAATTTATACGTCGTTTAGGACCGAGGTCCATGGTATAACAACTATTGAAGGGTTATTCTGAGTGGCAGAATTGGGCTGATCGAATTCTAGGCTGCTGGCTTATTGGGTCTTGAGAATTGAAACAAGATGGAGATTGGATTATTTATTGGGCTGTGAATTTTTAATATAGGAAGAGAAACATGAATAATATTTTTTGACAAATTATATCATTGATCAGAATTCATGTGAGATTATGAATCCAAATTCATAAAAATATTATTATAAGTTCAAAAAAATAATAGTGTAGGTTTATAAAATGACACAAGTTAATCAATCATAACTTAATATATTATTCTATTTTTCTTTTTGAATAAATAGAATTGATATATAAAAAAATATATTGTTAAAATCTTTTAAATGACACTTTTATTGATATATTTTCAATATGACATTTTAATAATTGTGTGATGAACTTGCAGCAGTAACCCTATGAACTTTAAGTATTATTTAATGAACTTGTAGTAGTAAATTTATGAATATGCAGTAGTAACATAATGAACCTATACTAGTGACTTATTAGTTTTTAATAGTAACTTTATGAGCTCACAAGTCCACAACTGTAGTGTGACTTTATGAACTTGCCATTGTCATTTTATAGACCTACAATAGTGACTATATAAACTTACAATAATTACTTAATGAATCTACAATAGTGTAGTGGTTTTATGAACATGTAGATTTATTTAAAAATTGAATAAAAATATTAATATGTGTATCATTTAAAAGATTTCAACTATAACTTTCTACATACACCCTAATCCTTGCCAAAAATTGACTGACTCTACCTATTGAAGCAATGTCCATACTAGAGTTTGAACTTGTGAACTCCCATTTGGAGAGTCATAGTTATACTGCTTGACTACAAATTATTTGACAAAGTTTGCAATTTTACTTTATAATATTTCATTAAAAAACAAACAAAAAAATAGAACATGAATATTTCAAAAAAAAAAAAAAAACATGAAATGTCATGCATGTGATATCACATTGTAATTCTCAACCTGGACAAAGTCTCACTATTGTATTTAATTTTCACCCGCATGGGCAGCTCAACTGGTCACAGAGGTGAAACTTTGGAAGAATGATTAGAGTTCGAGTTTCACCGTTGCAGTGTGGGAGCAACGGGGTTCCTTGTGCGCAGTGAGCACCGATATAACCTCTGTGTTCAGTTGAGTTACCATGATTTACATCGTCCCAAATGCTCTGTCGGAGTGTAGGGCCTTTTGGAAGAATTGTATTTAATTTTCTTAATTAGCTTGTTTTATGCATGATTAGCAATATAATTTGCAAGAATAAGCTACCTTAGCTAGGTTAATTGCATCTTGCCATCCACCTCTTAATTTCTTCTGACTTGTGCATGATCCACGTTATTACCAAATTATAATTTGCAAGAATAAGCTACCTTAGCTAGGTTAATTGCATCTTGCCATCCACCTCTTAATTTCTTCTGACTTGTGCATGATCCACGTTATTACCAAATTATAATTTGCAAGAATAAGCTACCTTAGCTAGGTTAATTGCATCTTGCCATCCACCTCTTAATTTCTTCTGACTTGTGCATAATCCACGTTATTACCAAATTATAATTTGCAAGAATAAGCTACCTTAGCTAGGTTAATTGCATCTTGCCATCCACCTCTTAATTTCTTCTGACTTGTGCATAATCCACGTTATTACCAAATGGATCAAAATGTATGTAAATGGGGGAAAGAAACAGTAAATATAGTACAAAACTTTGCAGATATTTTTGACTAGTACGTGCACCTATAAAATGTTCTTTATAAAGCAATTAAGTTAACTTATAAGGTTATGTCCAATTAAGAGTGGAAGTTACTCGAAAGAGATTGTTGGGTAAAAATTTCAAGGATCGAGTACAGTATCTTGCGACCAAACTGTAATTTATTTAAAAGACTTTAATAAGAAGGATGATTGGAGCAAGTATTAATAGACCATTTCACTCTTCCAAATTAAATGCATCTGAATTCATCAATTTTTATATCTATCTCAAACCCTAATAATAATCTATATTAATTAGGTAAAGATTATTGAAGTGTGATATGAAGCTAAGTTGCATCATCCACTATGAAAAGTTAGCGAGTAAATTAGTGGTGCAATAATACCTAATAAACTTTGCAGGAGAGTTGAAAGTTGAAAGCAACCTTGGAACAACTATTTTGGAGATGCATGTGGCATTCTCAACCTCCAGGACAAAGATATCTGTAAGGGAGTTATTCAACTTCTTAATTAATTAGATTTTAAAACATTATTAGACTTGGCCTTCAGGCCACTCTTTCTTTCTTTCAGTTTCTTGCTTTGTAAGAAAAGAAAAAAGAACATTTTTTTTTGAATGCTACTAGCTCTATTACATTGTAGTATCTGTTCATAAAGAAAAAAGAACATAAATGTATAAATATATATTGCAAAAAAAAAAAAAAAAGAAACTGACCTCGTGGGATGTGGATGAGATGATGTGTATTTCTTTTAATTTAACCAGAAGTCTCAATAAATCCATTTGGGAGTGCCCTTGAGGTCGTACCCAGTATCCACTGCACCCTACCTGACGAAACCTGTAGTAAAAAAAAAAAAAAAAACGACTCAATGGGTGATGAGAAAAACTCCAATTAAGCCACTACTCAATGGTGTGCATCGACTCTGTTATTATATAATAACCCACAAATTACACAGGACAGGTAAACCGTGTTGGACAAGAAATACTTTATCATTCTTTCATTCTTGTTCTTTTATGTATAGTATAGTAATTAATTTGACCTAGTCATTCCCAGAACTAATCATTCTTGTAAACAAAAAAACATATATGTATAACACGACGGGACATTGTCACTTGTGAGGAGCCAAATAAAAAATGGAACGAGAAAGATTCGAGTGATCAACAACGTCAAAGCCAGGAGCCAGCATCCTCGTCAGATCTGGCATTGCCCATTATGAAAATCTCAAGTTGACAATTAACTAACTTTTCAAAATTAAATATTTTTAAAGACGTGTCCTTTGAATTTTTCTTTGATCATCCCTCCACTTACATAACTGTCATCATGTTCGCATTGACAGCTCAATTGATTGTGAAATTTGTTAAAAGAAATTAATGATTGAGTCTCACTTGAGTTACCATACTATCTTGTTGGATCGAAGTGTACTAAATATCCCTTTGATCATGAGATCGATCAACTAAACTTCCAAGCTCATCCACCAACTCAACTAAGGTATACACCAAAAAGCCCTAATCCTAGTGGCCTGGATGAGCATGGGTCTCATACTTGAAGGTCATGAATTTAATTCTTGCAAACATCCCTTCGGTTGAACCTGTCGCACAGGGTTTTCCTATTGCAACCTGCTTCTTTTGTATGGTTTGACAGACTATTACACAACACAAGTAAGGTTTATCCAATATAGTACACCTTTAAGAGTAGTAGATATGAGTTTCTCTCGTCACCCAAAAAATAAAATAAAATGGCAAAAGCAACTGGTTAAAAAAGTATCCAAATTAAAATCTAGCCAGCAATTGAATAGAGAAGAATGGGACGACAACTGCCGAAATGTACAAGGAAGATGCACCAAAGAGGATAAGTCCGATTTGATAATGTAGGTCCACTAAAAAAAATTGTCTCCGGCCACCAACTCCATCTAAGACACTGTTTGGAGGTTTCATATTAGATAAGGCACCAAGTAATTGAAAATTGAAAATTGAAAATTCAGCATTATATTACCGTACCAATGATCAAAAGTTAAAAACGTAACCCATGCATAATATATATTTGACTTGGCTACTTCTATTGGTTGGTGGCAAATTCTCTCTTCTATAAATACCAAACCCTTTGAAGTTCTTTGAATCATCAAAGCTAAGGCAATCAACTCTCATACCAAACACAAACTTTCTTCAATTCTCATCATCTTTTTGCTAGCTACCTTTTCTCTCTCCATATCACTACACTACCACTATATATATATATATATCACCACCGTAATGGCTCCGCCGGCTGTTATTGATACTGGTGTTACTACTGAGAAACTAAGAATTAGTGATAAAATCTATGCCAGACTTAGGTTGGCAAAAGAATCCGATGTGAGTCATATTTACAAACTGTTTTACCAAATCCATGAATACCACAGTTTAACGCACCTCTATAAAGTGAGCGAGGATTCTTTGTGCAAGATGCTTTTCAAAGAAAACCCTAACCCTCCGTTCTACTCGCCGACCATCCTCCTCGTCGAGGTATCCGCCACCGAGTTCCCCGCCCCGACCCCCGACGAGTCGGGGTTCGAGCCGATCGTCAAGGAGTTCGACCTCAAAGCCCCCGTCGCCGACGACGAGAGCGATGCCTTCCGGTCCAACGTGGCCGACCACGAGGCCTATATCGCCGGCTACGCCTTCTTCTTCCCCAACTACTCGTGCTTCTACGACAAGCCCGGGATCTTCTTCGAGAGCCTGTACTTCCGGGCTAGCTACCGGAAGCTGGGGATGGGGCGGCTGATGTTCTCCACCGTCGCCGCCAATGCCGCCGACAAGGGGTTCTCGTCCGTCGAGGGGATCGTGGCGGTCTGGAACAAGAAATCCTACGACTTCTACGTCGACATGGGCGTTGAAATCATGGACGAGTTCCGGTACGGCAAGCTCACCGGCGACGCTCTTCAAGCGTATGCTAAGAAGAAGAGTTCTTAATTTATTTATTGCAAATTAAATCCGCATATAATACTTTTGCTGTTTTGTGTTTGTTTTATATTTTAATTTCCATATAAAGTACTAAAGTACGATGAAATGTGTATTTTATTTGATTTATGGTGTTTTTAGGGACAATTAACGTTGTATTATAGAATTTTCAGTTGTATTACTGTGTATTTGCTGCGATACTCGGAATAAATATACAAATAATTAATAAAATATATATGAATTGACTAACTACTTAATTAATCTTTTATTTTAAGTTAAACAAATACATACTTTAATATATTAGTCTATTTATTGGTTCGAATGTGACCAACATATTTTAATACATGATAGAGAAATAATTTCTTTTTTTCTTATTGATTTTTTTTACATGAAATTTCTACCTCAATTCGAACAAGGAAAAAATCGTATGTTACCCACCGAAGTATGGTCAGATTAAATTAACCAGTACACCAAAAGTTATAGTTAGTAGCAAATGTGCAAACTTTATTTCCTTATACTTGCATAATAGTTAACGTCACATTTCGATGATATGAGATTAAACTCGAGTCTCCAAACATTTGCCCAACAGATTGCCATAAGTTGTGAAATTATTGCAATTTAAGATTTTATACGTTACGTTGCTTACAAAAAAGTTTATAATGTGTCAATTATATTTATTGTATTACATCAATATTTTTTAAAGAAAAATATTTAAACTCCAAATTTAAAGACCTCTTATCGCTCCTATCAATATTTTTTTCTTTGCATACAACATGTGATATCCTCACTATTGTCAAACTAGTCTGGATTTAATTAACTCAAATCGCGCTCGTAGAATCCAACTTCTACTAGGATGAAAGTATGAAATTTTAGTCGTATAAATATAGTTACTTTGTAGATACAATCTTTCGATCGAATCTTCATCTATTTAATGTGTAAATTTAATCTCTGAACTAAATTCTTTGTGAAATGATGAATTCAGTCTCTAGGATTTTAATGAAACACTACTAATTTTAGAGACGGATGATTAAATTCATCACTTTATTAAGAGTCTTAAGATTAAATTATCCCCCCTTAATTAACTCATGAGCAACTAAATCAACACTAAGAGGCTAAATTAAAAGAACCATTTTCAGTAAATATCTTGTTGTGATATATAAATTTAATTTGGTAGGCTTTTAGGGTTTAACAAACATCATTCGGTGCACGTATATCTAGACGAAGTAAAGATTGATAGATCATGCATGAGACCTCTTACACTAAAATCTTGAGTGACAATCACAAACATTTTTATATCACGAAAATCCTTAAAAACAAGCTAGACAAATAATAATTTCATATAAAAAAAATCTTAGTATGTATTAAAATGAATATATATTTAGGGTAAGTATATACAATTATATTAGGTATACCTAAGTGTGGACTATGTCATTTTGACATGTTTGTACTACATCACCACCACTAAACAAATATGGATACATTCATCATCATCATGTTGTGAGTACTAGCTTGTTCAAACATGAAATAAACTAACATATATATATATGAAATAAAAATAATTGTCAATTACGTAGTACGACACAATTACATAGGATATCCATTTGCTATTTTGAAATGTATTCATCATCTTGGCTAGTTTCAAACATTCCAAATGTCATGCGCCAATAATTAATGTTCTTTCATATAATATAATCCAAATCACCAACATATATATAAGATATAATTGTCCTTACCATCCAAATATATAATGGCAATTTGTAATATGTACAATAATTTTCTATACAAATTTACTTGGTCAATGAAATCATAATTGGCCTGCTTGGTAACATAGTTAGCTTATCAACCAATTTTGATTTATTTGATCACTATTAGCTGTTTGACTTGGTAAAACAATCAATGAATGTTTGACTAATTAGCTTTTTGTAACAGCTTATTGCTTCAAATGCTAAAATCCAAAAAGCTGTTCAAAGTTTTTTGATTTAAGATTTAATGTTTTTTTGTTAGGTTTTAAGGTGTATCTAGAAATACACTATATACAGTTAAAAATTACATTATATAGTGTTAAAATTACACTTTCAAATTAGACAAAGTTACCAAAATATTACTGTATATTTTCAAAAATTGTATCAGATCCGTTAAATTTTTCTAAATAATAAACAACTAATATTAAGAACATATTAGTTCTTAGTAAACGTGATGAGGAAGATTGAGAATATCTGTACCTAGGTTTGGTCGACGGGCAACTAGTCAATCTTTCACATCCACCAACTGTATGTTTGACTTGCAAATGGTTCTAAAACCAGAAAACAAAAACACGCGGAACTAAGTTGGTGAGAAAATTTTGCTTCCTAATTTCATATGATATTTAAAACATTATTTTACAAGTATTAGCACAATGTTATTTTTTAATTACATGTAAATTGTTACAGCGAGAATGTAAGGGTTGTGTCATACATGTTTACAAAAAGACTAAATAACTAATTTGTATGTAATGTTACCTGTAAATTGTAGGCATGCAAGTCATTAAACTTTTTCAAAGTTTTTATTTTTTATTTTTAAAGCATTGTCTGAATGGGAAATATATATACTTTTTAATTTCTTTTTTTTTTTTTCATTATTTTGGTCCATGGAAAAATTCATTTCATATGGTGATCGAAGAAGACAAAAGTAACGAGGTAATTAAGTAAAAAGAATTATGTCCCGTAAGTAATCAATTAATATATACATCTATATAACTAAAAGTATTTGTTTTAAAATAAAAATAAAAATATTTCATTGTGTCCAAAAGAGGGGGAGTGGGTGAAACATATATATATATATATATATATATATATATATATATATATATATATATATATATATATAAAATATTATTATAACCTAAAAGTCACGAGTTCACTTATTGTCAATACTCTCTTGGTCGTGTCTATCTACAGGGTCTTCATACTTTTTAGTGCAATTTATATCTTTTGTGTGGTTTGCGAGTTTCTCTTTTCACTATTTTTTTTTTAATGTAGTAATAATAGTGAATTACATTATATCACTGCTGAAAATTATGGAATTTCCGACCACCTGAAAGTGATCTTATATCAAGTCGAAAGCAAAAAGTGATCAGAAATAGCAACAATGATTTTTCCGGATACCAAAAGTAGTCGGAACAAGACTTTCGACTTAATTTAAGATCATTTTCAGATGGTGGGAAATTTCATAATTTCCAGCAGTGAATTACAGAGTACAATTCACACAAGTAACCAGACTTTGAAATGAGTGGTGTCAATTTATTAATATATCTAACTATATCAATACTTATCATCTTCAATATATTTTCCATAATTTAATTAAACATTTATCTCATTAAAAATGTAAAATTATTCTAAAATATCATTATATATATAATTAAAAATTAAATAATAAATAAAATATATAGTAATAAATACACTAAAACAATATTTCCAAGAAAATATAAATATATAAATATATGCAAAGTTGTGTATATTTAGTTGAATTATTTGTTGATTAGTGGTGTTATAATTAGGGTTTAGAGGCAGTCTTATCTACTCCTCCCACCCAACCAATGGTGGGTGGACCAATGTTCCACTCCCGCGTACCCACCGCACTTGAAAGATACATTTGGCTTATTCATGGCATCAGTTTTCCCAATCCACTTGTTGCCTTAAAAAGACATGAAGACACAAACAAACAAATGCAGCATTGAATATAGAATAATTCATTACTACTATATATGGATTGTGTGGGATTAAATGGGTCCCAATTATATTCTCACAAAAGGCTGAATCTCCAACTCCAAAGTTCCCACACTCTGGCCTGACAAAGTATGGTGGGCTCCTTATTTCCTAACAACATTCAACTGTTGATCTATCCAGATGAATGAATCATATTAATCCTCATTTTTTACCCGCGACTCTGTGAGTATGTTCTCACCTAAACTCTCCCTTATATAGGGGTTCAAATGAGAGCATAGTCATACTATAAAAAGTGAGGGCGGATCACAGTTGCCCATCAGGTTAATCAATGGTTAATAGTTTTGGTAAAAAAGAAAAAATACGAAGTCAATTTTATAATTATTATAAACTATCAAGTGTGTAATATTTATAAAACTAACATCGTCCATTTTCCCATTATTTTCCATCAACCTTCAACCGCTAATCTATCTAAATGAATGGATTAGATCAATTTACACTTTTTAACTGAGAATTTGTTCTCACCCAAACCCTTTCTGGTATATACTAAACTTAGATTCTTATTTTAAAATCTCAAACAAATGAAACGTAACTACTCACTATCTTCTATAAGATGTATCAACTTATTGGTAGAGAAGTTGAAGTAGTTCATGATTCCACCTCAAATACATCATCGATAATAGTTTAATATATTATTATTTATTATCATCTTGTAATCAATCTTAGGATCCTCATAGATACGCGTACGAACATGTTTGTGGCACATAGACTTTGTCTCAAAAAGTTTGGTGTGACAAATTATTGGCCATATACCTAATCATATCTTTAGGTAGAGGAATTAAACATCATTTTATACAATTTTCCTATATCTTATAATAATATTTTGAGATTGTAATAAACAATAATCTCGGAAAAATAAAGTCTGGATTATCAAGTCAAAAGGGATCATTCCAGCACTTTTAAAGAAATTTGCTTTGAATGATTCAAACAAATCAATCATTATGATGAGATTAATTTCACAGCTCATGCATCATAAATATACTATAAGATTCAAAACATTTTTCTAAATTTCGTTTGGGTTGGGAGATGGCCTTTCAAGGTATGTGGAGGTTATGAGTAACTCCCTTTAATTTTTAGGCCCTCTTGGTCTCCACCAACCCAATAGTACTAACCTCATGTTTTGATGATAATATATTGGACTTAGTCCTTTACACTTTAGTTACTCAGCACTAACATTACGTTTTGATGACATAATGTTAGATTTAGACTTTCACATTTTTGCCTCTACGTCCAATACCAGTATCACGCATTAGCCAGTTCGACACCAGTAACATTGCGTTTTGATGACATAATGTTGGACTTGCGACACCAATAACATTGTGTTTTGATGACATAATGCTGGACTTGGTATATACTTCAAACCTTCATCGACTTAGCATCAATTCTACGTTTTGATGACATGATATTAAACTTGATCCTAATTAAAGGCCATCACTAATCCAATACTAACGTCATACATTTGCTAGTCCAACACCAACATCACATTTT